GGAGGGGAAGGGGAAAGGGAAGAAAGGAAAGGAAAAATTATGAGAAAGAAAAAAAAAAAAGGAAACAAAGTCTATGTAAATAGGGAAGGGTGGTAGGGGTGAAGGGTGCATAGGTAATGGGGAAAAAAAATAAGAACTAAGATACATCACGTTCAGGTACAAGCACCCAATGATAAATGTAAATGTATTGTATACCTAAAATGTACCAATTAATATATAAATAAAAAAAATAAAGTTTACAAAGCAAAAATCCTGGGAGACAACATTCTACTCCTTTTTGTAACTTCATTCTAAATATAATTAACATAGACAAAGCAAGTCTATATGATGGACAGATGTTTGTGTGCCTGGGTAAGGAGAAGGAGGGCAGAAGGAAGAGAAGCTGTTAATGATTACCTGGGTTATTCTTCACCCATTTAAGACAGGCTAAAGCCAGTGTAAGAATGAAGTAAGTCCAAGATGAATTTGGTTGCATTTGTTTTTGTCTTAAGATTTCAAAATGGATTCAGCATTTCTTAGAAAGAGGCTATTTTCCCAAAATTCATAGGATTTCTAGATCACAAACTTACTTTTTTATTCATACAAAATAATCCAAATTCATATTTCAAAGAAAGAACCATGTTAAAAAGAATTAATGTAACACAGCTGTCACTTACACAATGGCAATACTCCTTCTGTGTGGCATAGTATTTTTAAAAAGAACTGATGGGCCACTAGAAAAATAAGTCTTTCCAGCAGGAAAATAACTTTCTATTTTGAGTGGACATTTCTCATGGCTGTTTTAATAGCAAAATACACCCCTCATAGGCTAAATTTGGTAGCAAGTTCTGAAGAGATGGTAGCCTGAGATCATGCCGCTCAGGTCTCTACGCCTTCCAACATCACATTTCACCCACAGTCAGACAGCTCTTACTTTAAGTTCCTATTTAATAATTTCTCCTTTCATCTGGCCCTACTTTCAAGTATGTCTTTTGCTCAACTTGCCTTGAAATGCAAAACAGTTGCTTTTCTTTTTAATGTCCCAGTGTCTCTTGTTTCTTGCTTTTTTTTTTTTACGCAGTCTTCACTGGAACCCGTCCTCTAATTGGTAAGGTCTTCCTTCACCCAGTCGCCTCCCCAGAGTACTTCCCACAGCATTTCCAGCTCTATCCTCAGGAATCAGTAGAGGGCCTTTCCTTCTCTCCCTCCTTGTGCTACCTCCTCCCATCTGCATCTCCAAATCTTGTGAGAAGTAGCGAGTGTTGACACAAAGTCTTCAGATAAATACCCAGTGATATTAAGTGTCAAACTGTCATTTTTTTTTGTCAACTGCCATTTAGTTCAATATCAGGTAATAGAAAAATAGCACAAATATTTATTTAGATGCAGTCAGCCTACACCCCTGGGTGCTTAGTGTGTACTGACTGAAAATTATATGTCAAAATGCAGAAAGCTGTTTGCTGTTAACGAATCTTTTCTGTGTGGCCAAAGGGGGTCACCTTGTGTAAGCACCATACACTCATCGAATGAGGTCAATAATTAAGAAATGCCTAAATTATGCTGATAACTTTCAGTCTTAATAATACAAATTAAAACTAAGAAAGTGATCAAATTAACACTCATTCAAAAAATTTAAAAGCTGCTTTTGACCTCTACAGAAAAGACACCATGTGTTTTTTGAAGTACATGGACACATTGCACTCTGAATTATAATTATTGCTCCTGAGCAACAAATTAGGAAGGTGGGGAAAGTTAAATAAGCACCTTGCACTGAAATGAAATCATCTGGCTAATTTGTTTCGAAGCATAATTCAGCTTGATAGAATGGGTAAAGCGCTTTCAGAATTCCTATCTGACACTTGGAATCCTATAGGAGGCGTCATGACACCATCAGACACAGTTTAGCACCTGACAGGAGCCCTTAGAACTTCAAATGATGCAAATCCTGCCGCATCCAGCAGGTGTCAATGGTCACTGCCACAACAAAGCTGCTTCAGCCAGAACTGTTTTCAAAGGACAGGAGAAAGCCTGCATAGAGCAGGAAAGACATAGAACTTAAGAACCTGTGCCCACTATGAGCTTAAACCATCCTACTAGCTATGGTTTCCTGCCATTTGACAAAGTAACATTCATAAACAAGGTGCAGTGATTCTTTAGATTCCTTACTAAACCTGCCTGGTAACATGAACTGGATAAAACAGAACTTTGGTAACAAAAGATAAACACGGATTCCTTCTAATACAGCATATCATTTCGAGTCCCTCTTGTAACTCTTAGGAGATAAAATCATGCCCTACAGTACTTTTTTTTTTTTTGCCCTACAGTATTTTAACAATGCAATGAACCAAGCAATTGCCTAAGAAATCTGTGTTAGTATTACTGACCAGTATGTGTCATTTTTAATGGCTTTCCAGATTTCAAAGTATCAAATATTTCCCACAAGCTTTAAGATTGAGTTTGGAGAAGAGAAGGAGAAAGAAGATAATTGGATAACTAGAACCTCTATCATACCTGCATTTTCCCAGGAAGATACTGTTGTCTTCCTTGACTATCTAGCACTACATAATTAGATTAACAGGTATTTTAGGAAAAGACCAAGGAGAAGAGGTTTCTGTTTGCAAAATTCTGTCAGTTTAAGTGAATATCTGCCTGTTTACCTATGTAGCTGCTTTTTTAAAAAAGTAAAAGAAAAATTATGTAACAAACAATAAAGCTAGCTGCATACAAGAACTAATTAAATATATAAATAAGTCTGGATTTCTAGCCATATGGACACAAATAGATGTAATATTATTCACAAAAATGTTAAACGATTGCTTTGGAAAGGCAGCAATTATGCTTTTGGAGCAAGGAATGTGACAATGGCTGCTCATGCTGAACCTGCATCTAGGGACAGACACCATTCTTACATAGTCCTCATTCTGTCTTCGGCTCTGAGAGTCACTTTCAGCATCAGACTTATTCTAGGTAGCTTTCACCTTAGCACTCAATGGAATGGGAGGACAAAGTTCTCTGGGAAATGTTCACCATCCTTGCCTTCGTGATCTATCTAATCAGAAAGATACCAGACACAAAATAAAATTTCCTATCTAGGAAATCTAGGAATGGCTTCATACTTACATTCCCTTTCTCTTTGACTCCAAGAGCCTAAAGGTTTCTTTTTCTTTTCATGCACTCATTTTAAAATGTAACAGGGGGGTACGAATTTCATCATGAAGAAATGAGCAAGGTAACCCATAACACTAAAACCCATAAAACAAAAAAGCAGAAAAATGATTTGACTTAGTGATTGTCAAACTGATGGGGGCTGTCAGTACTGCAGTGAGAATAATCACAATTAACGGCCTTGCTTTGTTAGGAATCAAATCCGGCCTGATATGCTTTTGTTTGTTTTTTTCAGTTGTGGTCTTAAAAGATTTAGTTTAGTAATATCTCTTATGTTTGAGGAAGAAATGACCTTGGCCTTCTTGTGAGTTAGTACATGAATGAGAACATGCTCAAGTGTGTGTGTGCATGGGGGCTCACACACCCATCTCCACATGGTGGGAAAAGGTTAGCCACCCTTTCTTTTTTTTTGGTACTGGGGATCGAACTCAGTACCTTGCGCTTGCAAGGCATGCAGCAGAACCACTGAGCTAAATCCCCAGCCCATAGCCACCCTTTCCATAGAACATTAAGAGATGATTCACCATCTTAAATAAGATTTATTTTGGAAAGTGCTTATCTACTGTGGATTTTTAGGTAGTATGCACATGTGTGTGTGTGTGTGTGTATGTGCGTGTCCATACGGTTGTGTGTGAGAGAGACACACAGGCTGACACAGCATACCTCGATTCCTTCGGTTTCCTCAATAAACCTCCTGCTGACTGAGACCAGAGCCGCCTGCGGCCACGCATGAAACCAGTCAATAGCTGTGCAGGTAACTATGGCTGGGAACTTTCGAGCTCTGACTCTTAGTGTGTGACCAACTGGAGAGAAGCACAAAATGATCTGTGGAGACATGGCGGCAGGGCAGAAACGGGGGCGATAAGTCAGCAAAGAATGACACTGCGGTCGTAGACAATGAAGGAAAGGGGCACAGGCAACAGTGACATTCAATTATCCCAAAGTGCCGCACGGGAAAGCATTTACCTCCGTGCTAGTCAGAGGACCGACCTGCCCAAAGTGGCCGCTTTATTGGACATGCAGAAGCACTGCAGCGTGTTTCCCTTAAAATTTGTTCCTCTCCTTTTAAGCATGTTTGATGATCATTATTAACAGGAGATATTTTATTCATTTCTATTACACACATAACATTATGAAAACAAAAGATTAAAAATAAATCACCATGATACAATCATACCAGTACCTTCTTCTGTTTCCTTCCATTCTGTAATTCAGCAGGCTTCACAAAACTATATAATGATACACTTCAGAAAACTCAATTTTTAAAATTATAGTGAATGTTTATTTCTGTTTCCTTTTAAAATAAAATATATCTGCTTCAATTCTCACTTCAGATTTTAAAGTAATAAAAAGCTTTGGTTTAAACATGCTCTTTCTGAGAAATGTGTAAACTTGAAATTTTTTGTTCATTTGATGATTTAAAAGTTAATTTAAACCAGGCTAAATCATCCCTTGGTATCTGGTATCCATAGGGGATTGGTCTAGGATCTCCCACGGATACCAAATTCCAAGGTTGCTCAAGTCTCTTTTGTAAAGTGGAACTATTTGCATATAACCCACACATACCTTCCTGTACTCTTACATTATCTCTAGATTACCTACTATGCCTGATACAATGTAAATGCTGTGTAAATACTTATTATATTGTGCTATTTAGGGAATAAAGGATAAAACTCTATGCATGTTCAGTACAGACACAATCTAAAAAGAAAATATTTCAATCCACAGTGGGTTGAATCTGCAGATGAGGAAACCACAGATAGGAAAGGACAACTGTGTATTTCCTCACTTTCTTTAGAAACCCAAGGATTCTGTCAGTAGTACCTGAGTTGGCTATCACAAAGCAACACAGAAACTCAGTGGCAGAAGAACCTCAGTCAGGCAGGGTACATGGCACCCCTATTTTTGCTTCCTCCTGAGAGTCATCTCCACACTTCCTAGGGTTCTCAGAGGAGACACTCTGGGAAAAGCTGTGAAACACAGGTGTTCAGGGAACTTCCCTCATCTTCTGCCTCTCTCTCAAGTCCCCATGGATGCAAGGGCCTGGCGGGGAGACACGAGCTAGGAAGAGTCTGAGGGGACAGTCTCGGTTTCTTATGCAGCACGACCAAAAATCAAACCAAAAAACCCAAAATGATGAGTAACTTAATTAAAAATTATTACAGTAAAGGCCACATTCATTGTATTTATTTATCATACCACATAATCTGTGGAAATAGTTCAGACAATGTGAAACAAGGCCCCATGGCTTTCTCTAACATCTAAAGATCAAGCACTTAAATCATTTTTCAAGGGGTGTGACTCTGTTTTACCCACAACATTTAAAATAGCCATGTCAAAAATAAAAAACTACAAAATATCACATTTAATGTTTCATTTAAGTCTCTACTACTGTTGGTTATTTTTTTGGTACTGGGGATTGAACTCAGGACCTTGGGCTTTTGAGGCAGACGCAGCACCACTGAGCTAAATCCCCAGCCCTTCTACTGTTGTTTTCTATAGCATGTATATTCAATAACCCAAGCTAGATGAATCCTAAGATCTAAACTTTATTGTAATAAGTACCTAATATGAAATCTACTGTCTTAAATTTTTTACTGTCTAGTACAGCATTAAGTATGAGCACAATGTTGCACAGCAGGTTTCTAGAACTTTCTCATCTTGCATGACTGAAACTCTATACTGGTTAAAAGCCACCCTCCATTTCCCCCTCTTCCAGCTTGCTGGCAAACACCATTTTACTTTTTGTTTCTATGGGTTTAACTACTGTATACTCCACATATCAATGAGATCAGGCAGTATTAGTTTTTCTGTGTTGAGCTTAGCATGACGTATTCAAGGTTCATATATGTTGTGGCAAATGGCAAGAGTTCCTCCTTTTTAAAAACTGAATAATATTCCATTGTGTATGTGTACAACATTTTAAAAACCCATTAATCTGTCAACAAACAGTTTGCTTCCATGTCCTGTCCATTGTGAATAATCCTACAGTAAATGTGGGCACGCAGATATCTCTTCAAGATCTTGATTTCATTTCCTTTGGATGTACAGCCAGTAGTGGGAGTGCTGGACCATATGGTATTTCTATTTTTAATTTTATGAGAAATTACCATGTTTTCCATAGAAGGTGCACTATTTTACACTTATAAACTGTACAAGGGCTCCAATTTCTCCATATATCATTGCCAACACGTTATTTTTCATTTAAAAAATAATGGTGATCCTAACAGATGTGAGGTAATCCCTCATTGGGAACATTTCTATGTACCTACTGGCCACCTGCACATCTTCTTTACAGAAATGGTCATTCCAGTCCTTTTTCCTTTTCTTTTTTTTCCTTTCTCCTTTTTTCAATCAGGTTTTTTCACTACGGAAACATAGAAATTCCTTATACAGTGGTACCTCGGTTCAGGAACTTGATTCCTTCCATAATTCTGGTTGCAAACTGAACTGGATAAGAACCAAATCAAATTTCCCCATAAAGCCAACATTGACCTAATAACTGAATTTGATTTGGTTCACGAGCAATTCGGTTGCAACCTAAATTGTGGAAAGAAAAGGTTCTCCAACTGAACTACTACTGTATACTTGCAGATACTTACCCCTTACTAAATATATGGTTTGAAAATATTTTTTCTCATTTCATAGTTTGACTTTTTACTCTAGCGAATATTTCCCTTTTGGGCAGAAGCCTTTTAGCTTAATGTAGTCCCAGCTGTCTATTTCTGGTTTTGTTTCCTGTATGTTTGACATCATATCTGAGAAATCACTGTCAAGACCAATGTTATGAAGATTTCTGTGTTTTCTTCTAGGAATTTTATAGTTTTAGATCTTATGTTTAACCTATTTTGAGTTGATTTTTGCATAAGGTGTAAGGTAAGGTCCATTCTTTTTTTTCTTTTTTTTTTGAGACAAGGTCTCACTCTGTAATTCAGGGGCCTTGAACTCACTATCTAGCCCAGGCTGGCCTCAAACTCATGGCGATCCTCCTGCCTCAGCCTCCCCAGAGCTGGGATTGCAAGTGTGCACCACTACTCCCAGCTGTTGAATCTTTCATGTAGTAAAATGTTTTTGAATGATGTATAAGCTGATGATCATTTATTCATTATATTTGAGATTCAGTTACATACTGAATAATTGTTCTAAGACTGCATGTACTAAGTTCAGGAGCCTCAGTTATAATACATAGTTTTCACTTATATCTAAATTCTTAGTTTTTTTCCCAGGTTTTTCACTCTCCACTTGAACATTTCTCCTTTCTTCCCAAGAAGTTCCATTTCTGACCGAGGTCCCCAGTTGCGTGGAACACACACTGAATCAGCCCTCTGCAGACAGGCAGGTCTGTGCATGACCTACTGAGGTCCTGAGTCATGTGGAAGACACTGAATCACCCCACTGAAGACAGGTAGCCACCTGATTCCACACTACAAAGATGCAGAGGACAACAGACCATCAGACCAAGGTACTGAGTCCCACTGTTCCCGGCCCAGAGGTAGGGGCTTCTGAGCCATCGTCCCACTGCTCCTGGTCCAGAGGAAGGGGCTTCCTGGTCACCATCCCTCCCACTGCTCCCAGCTCAGAGGAAAGGGATTTTGGGCCACCTTCTGTCCCGCTACTCCTGGCCCAGAGGAAGGGGTTTCTGGGCCACCATCCCTCCCATGGCTCCCGGCCCAGAGGGAGGGGCTTCTGAGCCACCATCCCACTGCTCCTGGTCCAGAGGAAGGGGTTTCCCGGCCACCATCTCTCCCGCTGCTCCCAGCCCACAGGAAAGGGCTTTTGGGTCACCATCCCTACTGCTGCTCCCAGCCCGTCCCACCTCTCCCAGCTCAGAAGAGGTAATCCGTGCAAGCACTAACAGCCCCCCGCCCCAGTTGAAATGAGAAAACACGTAAATAAGTCTCAAAACCAGACTTCCAGATCACCTACAGCAACCCCAAAGGGAAATG